ACATGTCTTCCTTTTCTTGAAGTTTTCGAAAATCTTTCTTGCTCCTCCGATGGAAATAGAATATTTTTCAGAAATTTTTGCGTATGTTTTGCCTTTCTTCCTATCTTCTACAATTAGGTTTCGAATCTCTTCAGTTTTTCGCATTTTGCACTAAGAACAGAACAAAAATCAAATGAAAAACATTTAATCAACTTTAAATTTACCTTGTAAAAATTAACACAAATTAAAATTATACTTTCATATGACGCCCGCGCATCAATCGATTAGCACAGACTAATTACTTTTATTAATCAAAAGACTTTTTACGTATACATAACAAGCACACATTATGGTCGAACGGTTTATTTACATAACGGTGCCTCTTCATGGCATACTATTCGCATCAATTACGGAATTTGCAAATGTAAGAAGTGAACGAATGCGGTGAAGTTGATAAGTATTAAATTTATACTTTCATTTGATGCCTAGTGTATCTTTAATTTACTTTATCAAACCTAAATATATCGGAAATCGTTCTTCCTAATGTTAAAACTGAAATTTTACTCAAAACAAGAAATAGCATTAGTCAAAATATTATACGTAACATATTTTTCTCTTAACAAAAATAAAAAATAAAAGTTATACTTTATTCCGTATATCCTCCAGCATTTGTCATAAGTTTCCTAATTTTATTTAGCATGGATTGAATTAATTTTTGGCATGTTTCCAATGGGGTACCATCACAAACTTCCTTCACTTTCCGCCACAACTGCTTCTTATTTTGAAATGATGCCAATCTTCCATTAACATCAGTCCACAAGTTCTCAATCGATCAATCAATTGAACCACGCATATACCAACCACGATATATGTACATATGTTTCGGGCCGTTATCTTTTTGTTAGCATACCATTTTGCAAAATATCTGTGTTACCCCCTGTATGTGGACCTTTTGTTGAAAAAGATTTTTTCTGGCTTTAGGTCTCGGTAGATTACCATATATTAATCAATGAAGCGATTTAACATTAGTAAATAATATTTCACAATGCCCTATTACTACCAAAGTCATGCTCGATCGCAAATACCTATTTTACTAACTATAGATTATTAGGTATGAGGAATCTCAATGGCCATGAATATTTGGCCATAAAACGACCAATGAGGTGTTATTTAATGCAAACAGTTGATTATATTAAATTTAATTGTCGAATAATGCCTTTAATGAATAGTTATTAGTTTAAAATCAAATGAGAATGCCTCAATCCCAATCAATTAAATTACAGATCAAAATATGTAGGCTGTTTTTTTGTACATGTTGTAAACCACAGAAATAAACGCTTATGATTTAATGTAAAAGCCAAGAGTTTCGCTTTATTATAAAGATAAGGGTTTGCCATTATGTTTATAAAAAAATTACGTACAAGTGATTGTTGCGGCTGGCACGAATAAATTCCTGTCGAGAGCCCTATTTGCCGAACGTGCGACTGGCTTGATGGTGTTTATTATGAAAAGACAAACCAAAATGAGTATAAATAATGTAAGGTTGTCAAAAAGACCAAATCCGAAAAAATCATTGCTTCCTTTAAAACCATATGTCTAAAAAAAACACCCCGTACATTAGCCGTCCATTTTCACCAAAAGTATGAAGTAATTTAAAAATTAAATGCAATATTTGATCAGCTAATATAACTAAAATGTTCGTACAGTTTTATGGATTGACGGTTCACGCTTTCACAAAAACGAACAACGAATTGTGTTGTTCTATCTGCCTTGTAAATTTGTACATATGTATATAATGGGGTCAAACAAAATAAAAAATTGTCAAATCTCGCACAACGAAAAAAAAGAGCCCAAATAAGACCATCTACAGTATAACCACAATACATCCAAGTCAGAATTTTTCTCCAATTTCTACTGTGCAAGGTGCAATATTATCCGTTAATAATTTCAAGTTCATTTCAGGTTCAGAAGTGGTGGAGAGTATTATATAATACTATGTCGAATCAAAATAACTTGTGAAATATAAATAAATGTATGTATGAACATGAAATTTATGAGTGTGATTTTATTGTTCTTCGTCTTACTTTACTGAGTAAGCCAAATGCCCGATAGCTACAATAACCTCATATAATTTTTACTTTAATTGTGATTACTAATTAGCTACTATTGTACGTAATGCCAAATACATATATACTTGTGTATATTTAAATGGAAATTTATAATGGTGCAGTAAATTTAATTGTCGATTTACTATTTTTCTGTGCATCAAATCCAAAGAAGTCTAATTGATAAGGAGTACATTCGGCTACGAAGCCACTCAACTGTCGATTTATTACATCTTATATACATATATGTATACATACATAGGTACATATTTATGTATAAAGCAGACTTTCATTAAAACCAATCGCAATATATAAATACAATGATTGAGTATTGCTTCAAACTAAGTTAGCTGACTGACGTAGAGCATTGGGTTGTCAAAAAAGTCTTGCGGTATTTTCGCTAGTTGGCGCTGAGAGCGCGTAGTTCTAGTTTTATTCGTCGCAACGGGTCATGCTATACCTTTTTGGAAAGCTCATTTCACGCGCTAACGCGTGTTTGATTGATTGTCGTTTCTTTTAAGTCGTTCGTGAGTTATAGCGACGCAAACATGGAGTAAAATAAAGAGAAAATACGGCATATTTTACAGTACTACTACGATAAAGGCAAAAACGCATCTCAAGCCGTCAATAAAATTTGTGCAGTTTATGGACCCGATACAGTTTCGATTTCCACCGCACAACGATGGTTTCAACGTTTTCGTTCTGGTGTAGAGGTGGTCGAAGATGCGCCACGCTCCGGAAGGCCTGTCGTCGAAAATTGAGATAAAATCGCTGAATTGGTCGAAGAGACCGGCATAGTAGCAGCCGCGGCATCGCTCAAAAGCTGGGCATAAGCCATCAAACCGTTATAAAATAAAAATAAATAAATAATACCGCAAGACTTTTTTGACAACCTATTATAACACCAAATTCAGTTTGGTCATATATGTAATTAGACACGACAGTTACAACTTAAAAATATTTATATGAAAATGAAAAAATGTATTATACTTTTCAGTATTTTGTTGGATACCCTTATTTTTAACAACATTGCCTAGTCTTCGCGGTAAACTTTGAATTAATTGTTGGCATGTTTGTTGAAACAACTCGTCATTATTTCGCGGTTTTTTGTTCTTAAGATCTCGTTTCACAATTGCCCATACGTTTTGATCAGGACTTTCCGAAGGCCAAGCCAAAACATCAATATTTTTATCCGAAAGGCAGTTTTTGACTAACATTCAAGTGTGTTCTGTGTCATTATCGCGATGTAAAATGTAATGGCAAACAGGAATATGGTTCCCTTATATTCTCAAAGGAATATGGTTCCATTACATTCTCCAGAATGTTATTATATTGATGTTGGTCCATTATTCCTTGAACACGCAAAGTTGGGCCAACACCAC